TCTATCTATCTATCTATCTATCTATCTATCTATCTATCTATCTATCTATCTATCTCTGTCTATCTATTTATCTGTACGTACATACATTTTCCAAAAGTGAAATGTTTCCCATGCTGGACACTCAGTTTAAATGATGTGTAAAATAGAGAAGAAATTATGATCCAAATAAACTGCTTGTAATTCTAAGTTTGAGCATATTTCATAGTTGGCTTGTATATTTGTGTTCAAGAGGAACAAATATCCACACCCCCCCCCCGGCAATGGGCAAAGAGATACCTTGATGGTGGTGTTCTCATATCACCAGAGGCGGAGCAGATGGCAGTACTTTGTTCATCCTAGGGTGAGGCCTGGCTTAGTGGCCAAAGGACTCATAAAAATCAAATCAAATCATCAAATCCAGGTAGCACAGCACAGGAAGAGGAAGACAGGCAGAGACCTGCGGACCGCCGCGTCACCCACAAGCCTGCCCTCCAGCTCATGGCACAGGCAGACCACAGACACCCGCTTGCCACCATACCGTGCAACATGGATGGAGGACAGCACCCCGGGGCCTGCCAGCCACGTGTCCGACGTGCAGCAGGAGCCACCGCAGTGTGCAAGTATGTGGTGGTCAGATGGGAAAGAAAGAGAAGTGAGCAGCTTGAGCGTTATGAAGAGAGACGGAACTGGAGACTCGAGGATGGAGAGGGGTAGCCCTTGTGAATGGCCACCCCCACCACGTGGGGCCATGGTGAGTTCCCTGCCCAAGCTGCCACTGAGGGCCATGTCTGAGTCCCTGGCTATGCAGTTGATGTCTGTGGCTCATATTACTACTAGAAAACATGGAGATGTCCCTAGCAGCTGCCAGGGACTGCATGGAGGTCCAGGGACTGTGCAGAACTGTCCCCGCCCCTCACTGGCTGTGGTGCTCTAGAAAGCCAGCCCCATCTCTTACCTGTGGCAACCCTGCTCCTCACCCAGGCAGCACAGTGGATCTGGGCCCTGGTGGCACGAGTGTGGGTGAATTGGCCACTAGGGTGTGAATGTGAGAGAGCTGACCCTGCCACCCACCTGCCATGAAGTAGTATGAGGTGAGGGGTGATGCCCAGCTCGACACCTCTGGCAGTTGGGAAAGCTGCTCATAGGACCATGAGCTCGGGGAAGTGCTAGCTCTGCCCCTCACCAGGTACAACACTGGAGGGCAGGCCCTGCACCTCAGCGAGGGAGAGTTGGCTCCAACCCTAACCTGCCTGCCGTGAGGTGGCATGGGTATAGGGGTGATGACCCTCCCCTTACTGCCTGAAGCAGTTAAGAGAACTGACTCTGAGGTCATGAGAGTAGAGCTAGAGCTGCTCCCTTTCTGGCTGTGGCACTGCATCTTACCTGGATATACAGTGGAGCTGGCCCAGAAGGTGAAGGCATGGTTGAGCCAGCCCCAAGAGCAGGAGAGCTGGCCCAGCCCCTCATAGGCTGTAGCATTGGGAGAGTGGGCCCTGCATCTTGTGGGTGTGGATGACTCTGAATTGGCTGACTCCAAAATCTTTACCTATAAATGGTTGGGATGCGTGAAAGGGCCAGTCCTGCTGTTCTAAAGCTGGAGGGTCTCCATGACACAGGGCAACATTAGGATAACTGGGAGGAGGGTCGGTGAGGATTCAGTAGTGATGGTGTCACACACAGAGGCCAGAGGTCTTGAACCAGACCAATGACTCATTCCAACGAATATTTTCAAGTGAAGGTGTGTGGACAGAAGGATATACAATGAGAAGTACTACAGTTTCCATAATAAGATGTTTCCTATGCTTTGTTTTTGGGTTTTGTGTGTGTATGTGTGTGTGTGTGTGTGTGTGTGTGTGTGTGTATGTTTTGAGGGAGGTTGCAAGGGTGAAGGGCAGATATGAGGGGACAAGGAGATGAGCAGGACTGGGGTGCCTGGTGTGAAACTCACAAAGGAAGCAACTTTTTTAAAGGAATAAATATTGAAAGGTCAGGTTGCTCTGGTCATGGCATTTCATCACAGCAATGATAATCCTACGACAGCGATAAACTAACACTGTGTTTGGGTGTGTATGTGTTTCTGTGTGAATGCATGTAGGCATAGTGTTGGTGCACGTGTGAGAACGTACCTGTGCTCGACTGGTTGGCCAGTGAGCCCCAGGCATCCTTCTGTCTCTGCTTGCCCAGTGCTGGGATGACAGGCGCATGCCACCACACTCAGCTTTTTGACGTGGCTTCTGAGGATCAAAAGCAGATCTTCATCTCTGCGCTACAAGCACTTTAGCCCCTGATCCATCTCCCCAGCCCCAACCACACCTTTAAAGAGCTTCACAGGAAAAATATCTACCAGCCTTAAGTTATATATCCACAGAAACATTTAAGAAATAAAGGAAGTCAGGGGTGGTGGATCACACCTATAATCTGAGGCAGAAGAATTTCCTTGAGTTTGAGGGCAGCCTAGTGTGCAATGAGTTCCAGGCCATGCTGGAGTACAATGAGGTTCTGTCTTAAAAAAACAAATGAGAGAGGGAAGAGGGAGAAGGGAAGGAAGGGAAGGGCAAGGAGAGGAAGAAAGGGGAAAGCAAGAGAAGGGACGAGGAAGGAGAGGAAAGAGGACGGGAATCACAAAACAGTTATGCCCATAACAGACTTGCCACTATTGTACCATAGGCACATCATGCCTGGAGAGTCTGCTTCGCTGCACACAGACAGGGTCCACACTGGGGAAGGCTGGCAGCTCTCTCCTAGTAGTCTGCATAGAATCTTTTTCAGCACTGAGGGTAGAAGGCAGGGAGGAAGCTTGGAGCCCCATTCTTGCTGTATTTCTCTCTCTCTCTCTCTCTCTCTCTCTCTCTCTCTCTCTCTGTGTGTGTGTGTGTGTGCTTAGGAGCAGGATTTTATCATCTAGTTCTACTAATAACCACCAGCAGTAGAAACCGTCAGTAGTGCTTTCGCAGCCCACCTTTGTCCCTGAGGTTTTCACCTAGCAGCCTATGGCTTTTGGCAGCAGCTTTATTCCCTTATAGGGTGTTTTCCTTTAGTTTTATGATTTGGTTAGCTTGGCAAGTAGTTGATTTCTTCTTTATTACTTTTTCTTGCATGGCTGTTTTGGGTTGGACACCCTCTTCCTACCCCCCCCCCCCGCCAATCTCCCTGCCCAGCTCATATACCTTTCCATGTCCAGCTATCCATCACATGCATTCTATTCTTTCCCTTAAAGAATGTTTTCCCCTGTCATGGGCTTTTTCTAGCTTCTCAGGCTCTGTATGTACTTGTCCATAGAAGCGTGCATTTACAAGATGCGGGCTCTGCATAGGAGAGAAGAACGTGAAATGTTTCTGTGCCAGGTAGTGTGACTTTATAGTCTCCAGTTCCATCCAATTTTCTAATTTTCATTTCATTTTTCTTTATGGCTGAGTAAGAAACCATTATGTATAAGTGCCAGCTTTTTACTCTTTGTCCATTTGCTGAGGACATCCAGGCTGATTCCATGTCTCTGTTACTGTGACTATGGCAGCAATAAGCATGGATGAGCAAGTATCTCTGTGGTGAGATGTAGA